TCCTGATTTTCATTCCTTTGGATAAATGCCCAAGAGTGATATTGCTGGATTTTAGGGTAGTTCGATTTTTAGTTTTTTGAGGAACTTCCATACCAGTTTTCATAGTGTTCATACTAGTTTACATTCTTACCAATGTTTTATAAAAACACTAGCATTTGTTTTTTGTTTGTGTTCTTCATGATAGCCATTCTGACTGGAGTGAGATGGATTCTTAGTGTTGTTTTGATTCCCCATTTCCTTGAGGGGTATTAAGCATTTCGTCATGTGTTTATCTTTATTTTTATTGTTATTATAAAGATGATATACAGAGGGGTTACAAGTTGCATAAGTGAGGTAAATAGTACATTTCATTTTGGATGCCCATGTGTTTATTGGTCATTTGTACTTCTTTTGAGAAATATCTATTCATTTTACTGCCCATTTATTAATTGGGTTATTGGTTCTTTGGGAGTTTAGAATTTTGAGCTCCCATGGGCTGGGAAGGTGACTCAGTGATAGAATTCTTGCCTTGCATGCATGAGGCCTTGGGTTCCATTCCTCAGCACCACATAAGCAGAAAAAGCCAGAAGTGGCGCTATGGCTCAAGTGGTAGGGCACTAGCCTTGAGCTGAAGAGGTGAGAGACAGTGCCCAGCCCAGAGTTCAGGCCCCATGACTGGCCAAAACAGAAAACAAAACAAAACAAAAAACAACCTCCCCCCCAAAAAATAGAATTTTGAGCTCCCTGTATATTTTGGTAACTAATCTCTGTTGGAGGTACAGTTGGCTAGGATTTTTTCCCCATTCTGTATGTAGGCTGTTTGACTATATCCTTTGCTGTGCGGAAGCTTTTTAGCTTGATGCAATCCTAGTTGTCCTTCCTGTGCCAGTAAGTTGTGTGTTTTCCATATTCTTCGCTGTAATAGTTTCAAAGTTTCAGGTCTTATGTTAAAATCCCTAATCTATTTTTAAGTTGATATTAGTACAGGACAAAAGATAGGAATCTAGTTTTATCAGCACCATTTGCTGAAGAAGGTGTCCTTTCTCCAGTATACACTTTGGGCACTTCCATTAAAAATCAGATGGCTGTATATGCGTGGATTAATTTCTGTGTCATATTTGTTCCAATACAAGTTTTTGTTGTGTTGTTACAGTGGCTTATGTAGTATAATATAAAGTCAGGTATTAAGATACTTCTAACAGGGGCTGGGAAGGTGGCTCAGTGGTAGAGCGCTTGCCTTGCATGCCTGAGGCCCTGGGTTCATTTCCTCAGCACCATATAAGCAAAAAGAAAAAATCCGGAAGTGGCGCTGTGGCTCAAGTGGTAGAGTGCTAGCCTTGAGCTGAAGAGCTGAGGGACAGTGCCCAGGCCCAGAGTTCAGGCCCCACAACTGGACCCCCCCCCAAAAAAAAAGATACCTCTAACATTACATTGCTTTAGCTATTCTGGGTTTTTGTGATTCTTATAACTTTTAGGATTGATATTTTTGTCTGTGAAGAATAATATTGGGATTTTGATGGTTATTGAGCACTGTTTTCAGATCTGAAAAACAAAAATATTTAGAGAACACACTTTACTGGCAGATGGGTTTATTTTGTTTTATTTTTTTGGTGACTCCCAGAATTAATGCTAATGAGAGTACTTATAGTTACAGGGATCAGGGAGTGACTTCCTTTGTGTAATTCTGTTACACAAACAGATTCTTCCTGCCCTCTTAAGTATGTCTTATTTATTTGTTATAGCCATTTTCTGTTATCTTTCCTTCATGGATGGTTCACATTGATGTTTCTTCAAGGGGGATAATTGCGGGAGACTCCTACTGTCTTGGCTTCAGTCCCCTTTTTGGAACTTGAACAGCAAATGTTAATGTACTGAGATAGATTATGCAACCATGCAGGAGTTTTTATTTCCATAGGCACCTCCTGTTCTTCCAATGTGAGCAGGCCAGATAGAAGCAGCTTCTTTGCTGCTTCTCATGATGTATGAGTGGAGCTTTTTCGGCTCCTTTTTCACATATTGAACAACCATTTTCATAATCTTGTATCAGAATAGGAACTTTCAAAGTTGGATGTTCTATGTGTGCAAGCCCAATGATTCCTATTATTTATCTTGGTGTTAACTTGAACGTATGTCTATCTCTGTCTTTTGAGTTTCTTCCTTTCTGGCACCTGAATCTTCTCCTCTTCCCACTTTCCTTACCCCCTTCTTTTTCCTTTTAAACACTTTTTAATTGGCATAAATTAATTTATTTTTTATTTTTATTGTCAAGTTGATATACAGAGGGGTTACAGTACATAAGTAAGGAAATAAGACATTTCTTGTCAAACTTGTTACCCTTTCCCTAATTTTTCTCCTATCTTCCCTCCTCCCATCCCCTGGCATCCATTAATTGTATACGGAGATCTTTTTTGACATGTCCATATAGGCATACAGTGTACTTTGGTCAAAGGCACCCCTTCCATCACTGTCCCTTATGCCCTCTTGCCCCTTCCTAGATCAATCGCAATGAACTTCAGTGCTCCTACTCCTTGTGAATTAGCTGTACATTCTAATTTTTTCTTTCCTTGTCTTTTTTCTTTTCTGTGTGTATATGTGTGTGTTTGTGTGTTTATGTGTGAGTGCGCATGCACACTAGTACCTGGCCTTGACCTTTTTAGGGCTTTATGATTTACTACTTGAACCACAGCTTCATTTCTGGTTTTTTGGTGGTTAGAGAAAAGGGTTTCTGGGGTGTCTGCCCAGGCTGCCTTTGAGTTGCACATCTTGGGTTTCAGCCTCTTGAGCAGTTTGTTTTATAGGCGTGAGCCACCAGCACCTATCTAATTTTTTTGTTGTTGTTGGTCGTGGGGCTTGAACTCTAGGCCTGGCTGATGTCCCTGCACTCTTCAGCTCAAGGGGAGTGCTCTACCACTTGACCCTTAGCACCACTTCCGTTTTTTTTTTTTTTTTGGTTGGTCGTGGGGCTTGAACTCTAGGCCTGGCTGATGTCCCTGCACTCTTCAGCTCAAGGGGAGTGCTCTACCACTTGACCCTTAGCACCACTTCCGTTTTTTTTTTTTTTTTGGTTGGTCGTGGGGCTTGAACTCTGGGCCTGGGCGCTGTCCCTTAGCTCTTCAGTTCAAGGTGAGCGCTCTACCACTTGAGCTACAGCTCTACTTCCGGTTTTCTGGTGGTTTATTGGAGATAGGAGTCTCACGGTCTTTTCTGCCCAGGCTGGCTTTGAACTGCGATCCTCAGATCTCAGCCTCCTCAGTAGCTAGGATTACAGGCATGAGCCACCAGCGCCCGGCTCTCACCACTTCCATTTTTTTTTTTCTAGTGTTTTATTGGAGATAAGAGACTCATGGACTTTACTGCCCAGGCTGGCTTCGAACCATGATCCTCAGATTGCAGTCTCCTGAGTAGCTAGGATTACAGGTGTGAGCCACCGGTGCCTGGCTCTACCTAATTTTTCATATTGATATATCATGTCAGATCAACAGTTTTCCTCCTTCCCTTTTTTCTTCCTCCCCTTCTTTACTTCCTCCCTCCTTTCCTGTCTTCTCTTTTCCTCTTTCTACCTCTTTTTCTCTGTCTCCCTCCTTTGCTTTTTCTGAGCCCATACTGTTCCAGAACTCACTGTATATCTTGGACTAGCCTTGACCTTGTGGTTTTCCTGCCTCAGCCTCTCAAGTGCTAGCTAGCACTACAGGTGTGAGCCACTATATCCAGCTAGAAATGTAATAAATTATTTCTTAATTTTATTTTCTGCTTTGTTTCATAGAATTTGAGTTGATGGTATTATACTTTGTTTGAAAAAAATATATACACATATATTTTTTGTCAGTCTTGGGGCTTGTACTTTGGGCTTGGGTGCTGTCCCTGTGCTCTTCAGTTCAAGGCAAGCACTCTACTGTTTGAGCCACAGCACTACTTCCAGTTTTCTAGTGGTTAATTGGAGATAAGAGTCTCATGGACTTTCTTGCCCCTCCTGGCTTTGAGCCTGGATCCTCAGATCTCAGCCTCCTGAGTAGCTAGAATTACAGGCTGTTAGCTACCAGTTCTTGGCTTGAAAATATTTTTAAAAATATATTTTTATTAACTTTAAGTAGTTGTACAATTGCCAGTCAACAAAAGTTTTTTAGTATAAAATAGATGAGGCATATATATAAAGTTGGATAGTAAAAAAGATATACATTTCCCCTTTTGCTCTCTTCACTTATGTACCCTACCCTAGTTTCCTTTCATAGATTCAACTAGTTATTACTTTCATGTTTGTTTTTCTATGGTTTGATATACATTACTTTATTCAAAAAGTATTTTTGAGCTCAGGTCTTGCTTGGCTAATGCTCAGCAACTTAAGCCATGCCCCTGGCACTGCTTTTTGCTGATTATTTTGGAGATGGAGTCTAGTGGATTTTTCTGCCCAAGCTGGTCTTGCCTACCTCTGAATCTCAGCCTCCTGAGTTGCTAGTATTACAGTCATGAGTCATTCAGCAGTTTTAAAACTTTAACATAGTGTTTAAACTAGTTTTAGGATTTTTCCATTTGTTTGGCAAATTACAATTGTTATTGCTTCTGATCTGAAAGGTTAAATTACAACTTTATATTAGTTAAATGTTTTCTGTATGTTTTTACATGTAAATTGCTTATGTTTTAATTTTTGCTCACTTTATAAATGCCCAAAAATGTGACAAGAAGAAAAAAAACTGTTGATTAGAATATTTAAATCATTATATTTAATGGTAATAAAATATTAGCTCTAATTTTTGGGTACTAGTAGAAATGACAAATTATTGGAAATTTTACTGAAATACATTGTAGATATCCTTAAAAATTGTCCTGCTTACTAACCAGTCCATGGCATTGTTTGCTTACATGCAAATAATTGCCCAAAGTGAGATCTGTCAAAACTAAAGATCTCCTTTTTGGGTTCCTCGGCCATAGTTTATACCATTGATTGACTAATTGCATCTTGGTGAAATTCAGTAACTTGGAGGCAAGAAATGGAAGTCTATGACCTGATATGTTTTCTTCCTTAGATCAACCTCTCCACTTCTCCTACTCCTGCACAGTTAATAAGCCGTTCCCAGGCTTCCAGTTCTACCAGCGGCAGTATTACCCAACAGACTATGTTACTAGGGAGTACCTCTCCTACCCTAACTGCAAGCCAAGCTCAAATGTATCTCCGAGCTCAAATGGTAAGACATGAGCACCAAAAGTTTTCAGTGTTTAAGGACTTGAGAGATCAAAATGTTTCTAGACTGAGTGCAATGAGGCATTTTTAATACTTAAGAAATGGTAAATTTTTTGTGTGTATGCCTAGCTTTTAATGCCTTTTATAAATGTCACAGATAAATCTACTTTGAATTAGTCCTTCTTGGTAACAAATACTACTTGTCAGTCATGGGAATCTAACAGAAATTTTGTAATGATTATTTTGTTATACTAAGTTTTGTCTTTTTCAGAATTTTTTCCCTCACATTTTAGTATTTCTGAAATCGAAGTGAATTGATGTCTTATAGTATAATTTTAGTACTTACAATGATTGGTGAATCAATATATACTTCTGACATTTTAGATTTAATTAAACAGTAAGAAATATTAATAACTTAGTCAGTAGCTGTAAGTAAGAATTTATACCCTGTAAGTAAGAATTTATAACCTGGATTGGAGTTCCTGATAATTAACCAAATGATTCTTAAAGGTCTTAGTTACTTTCACATCAAATCTGTAAGATTGTGTTCTTTTCTGCACTCTAATTTTTTTTAAACAAATACAGGAATGTTAATTTGGTTATTCTGTAGTTGGGTGCATACTGATTTCCTAATTTAATTGTTTGGCATCTTTGAGGAATGTAGAAATTGGTTGACATTTATTTTTTTCAGAACTTAGATGAAAGCTTTGACTGGCTCTAATGTGTATTCTTTTTTGTCCATTGAACTGTTTATATATGTCTAGATTCCCAATTCTTGTTCTAAAATTGGAAAGTTAGTTTCCACTCATATTTCTAACAGAAAATAATGATATGACTCACCTTTTATTTACTTCAAGATTATTCAGTACACCTTGTCATTATTTCTCATTATATCTTTAATAATGTTCTTTAAAATTAGGTTGGAAATATAATTAAAAAAATAATCCAAGCATCTGTGGCTCATAAGGCTGAGATCGTGGTTCAAACCAGCCCAGTCAGGAAAGTCTGTGAGACTCCTTTTCTCCAATAAACTACTCTGAAGAAAGTCAGAAATGGAGCTGTGGCTCCAGTGGTAGAGTGCTTGCCTTAAGCAAAAGAAGCTTGGGGAAGCTGTGCCCAGCCCCCGAGCTCAAGTCCCTGGACCAGTGCAAAATAAAATAAAATACAGTTAGCTTGAGCCATTTGAAATGGTTGCTATCAGATTAAGCTGTGTTTAAGTTTAGTAAAATAATAAAGAACTAAAGTTTAAAAGATTTCTTTACGGGGAGCAGAAAGGGGTTGGGGGATAAGGGAAGGTAATGGGATGGTGAATATGATCAAAGATGTTATAGGTGTGAGTATATGAAAATGTCAAAGTGAAACCCGTTATTTTGTAGTTAACATACTAATACAAAATTCAAGATTAAAAGATTTATTAGTTGGTCTTTTTGGCTTAAACAGCAGTGAGGAACTGAATACTTCTTGAAATAATTTTGAAATAGGGTACTTAGATATTTTTTGATAACTGTCATAATGTATTAGGTTAAATTAGGTAGATTGCATTACGTTAGAATAGAATTTGTTTAATATTAAAAGGTTGAAGAAATAAATTGGGTATTTACTCTTTTATTCTATTTTATCGTAACATTTAGAATGAATATTTCTTCATGAATAGTTTGAAAATGGAAATCAGCCTAGGCTCATCTTATATATCTTTTCTGAGTGAAACATTGTAGTTTTGTGTGTAGCACAGTTATCCTTGTAAGAGAACAGAACTTTGTGTTTCTTGTTTCTCCTTGAAATATAATTTGTGCCCCAACTAGTGATGGTAGCTTTCTATTTCAGGAACCTGAGAACAGTTTTGAGTGTAGTAAAACTTAAGTATAATAGCTAATTTGGGACAAAATATGGTTTGAGGATATCATATCACCAAAATGTATTTTCTTTGAGTACTGATTTATTTTTCCTACTCATCAGGAGCATAAGCTGGTTCAAAACTGCTTGAAATTTTTTTTTGTTTTTTTGAGTTCTCATTATCAGAAACTTCTCTTACCATGTGAAACCTTTTGCTTAGGGGATAGTCCTAAACTACATTGTCTTTCTGTCACAAATTTCAGTCTCTTGCCTGCTATACATTGTGTGTGGGACATGTTCTTTTGCCTTAGGGTATTTTTTGGTTTTCTGTCTGTACAGCTGATTTTCACACCCGCTACCACTGTGGCTGCTGTACAGTCTGACATTCCTGTTGTCTCGTCGTCGTCGTCGTCATCGTCATCTTCCTGTCAGTCTGCAGCTACTCAGGTGAGCTTGTCTAGCTTCATAATGTGGTACTTGAAGTCTAGATCTTCATGTTAAAGATAAGCATTGCAGTGGGGCACTGGTGGCTTATGCCTGTAATCCTCGCTACTCAGGAGGCTGAGATCCAAGGATCAGGGTTCAAAACCAGCCTAGGCAGACAAATTGAGATATTCTTACTTGCAGTTAACCAGCAAAAAGCTGGGAATGGAGGTGTGACTCAAGTAGTTGAGTGCTAACCTTGAGAGAAAAAGCTAAGTGAAAACATGAGGCCCTTGGTTCAAGTTCAATCCTGGCACATACAGAAAAGATAAGCATTGAATTTGTGTTTCAGCTGCTGTAATTCCAGAGCTCTTTGTTATGCATTTCAGATTGAAATCTATAAAAAGTAGGGATGCATTTATCTTTATTAAAAGTAAAAACTGTTCTTTAAACCTTACAAAATAAAAAAGCAAGCCACAATATCCACAGTCTTTATATTTGACAAAGATTGTACCCAGAAAATACAAAGTATGCTTACAACTTAATAATAAGAGCATAAGCAATTGAATTGAAAAATGGACAAAAGACTTAAAGAGCCATGTCACCAAAAACAGTATTCAAAAGGCCAGTAGGTACCTGAAACTGTCTTTAACTTTATAAATGCAAATCAAAACCATGAACATCATGTAGTTACTAGAATGGCAAGAATGAGGAAGCCTGATAGTATTTCATGTTCGTGAGGGTATAGAACAATCAGATTCTCAGCATTTTTGGTGAAGGAGTAAAATGGTAGAACTACTTTGGGAAGCATTTCAGTTTTTCTTATTAAGTCAAGTATTTAACATTCCAACCAGCAAATCCTAATGTTTATGCTTAAAGATGTGAAAGCACATACCCATATAAAGACACATTAAACATGTTTATAGCAGCTCAGTTCTGAATAGCCCTAACATGGGAACAATCAATTGTCCTTTATATGCTAATGATAAACTAATTACAGTAATTCACAGTGGAATACTACTTAAGAAATAAAAAGGAACGAACTACTGATGAACTGAGAACAAAAATGAGCTAAAGTGCACTTCCTCTGTATCATCTCATTTATATGAAAAAAAATAATCCATAGTTTAAAAAAATCAGATTAATGATACTGAGACCCAATGTTTCTTCAGGAAAATGGATGGGATAATGGATTGGACATCAGGAGATAGCTTTTTTGTTGTTGTTGTTGGTCATGGGGCTCGAATTTAGTCTGGGCTCTGTCCCTCAGCTTTTGTGCACATTGTTAGCACTCTACCACTTTGAGGTACAGCTCACTTCTGGTTTTCTAGTGGCTAATTGGAGATAAGACTCACAGACTTTCCTGCCCAGGCTGGCTTTGAACTACAATCCTCTTATCTCAGCCTCCTGAGTAGCTAGGATTATAGGTGTGAGCCATTAGTGCCTGGTGTTAAGAGATAGCTTTAAGGAAGAATGGTATTAGGACTGGAAGAGCCTAATCCCTGAAGAATGAAGAATAGAACATTGTGACAGAAATTATTGGTGGAAGGAGTAAAAAGTGGTTCTCAGTGTGATTTGGACATAGATTATGGAGGACTATGAGTGGTAATGTGAAAAATAAATATTTTTGCTGACGGCTGTCACTCTACTACTTGAGTCACACCTCCATTTCCATGAAAAATAAATATTCTAATACAAAATCCTTGACATCCTATTGATTGTACTAACCTCTTAAAAGCCAAATCTTCCTTGTCCACAACTTTAAACACAATCCATTTCTGGCTAGGCTACAAGTTTTATACCTATTTCCACTTTTCTATTTTCTCCCAAGTTTGTCTGTAACTTATTAAAACCTGCTGGGAATATCTATGTCCTAGCATGATGCTGAGCTGCCTATGAGATTTCCTCTGCCAGATTAATTATTCTATCATGTTTAAAGTCAGTCTCTCACAAAATCTCAGACACAGACAAAATGTAGACATGTTCTTTGCCACAATATGATGTGCATACCTATCTCTGCTTTAATACCTAATAGAATCCTTTTTATTTTTTTTCCTATCTGAAATTTTATGAGTACATGACATTTGCTCACACTCATATCAACATTCTTGTTTTCTAAGCTACTATCATAATCACCCATTAAGCTCTGCTTACAGCATTTTAGGCTTATCTAACCTGTATACCTAAAATTTCAATTTCCTGATGTATATCTTACAGAGGCTTGAAAACCACAGATAGGCTGGGTGCTGGTGGCTGTAATCCTAGCTACTTAAGAGGTTAAGATATAAGGATCACCATTTAAAGCCAGTCTTGGAAGAAAAGTTAACCACAAAAAAATTGGAGGTGGAACTGTGGCCCAAGTGGTAGAGTGCTAGCCCTGAGCACAAAAGCTGAGGGACAGACCCCAGACTTGGAGGTTAAGGCCCACGACTGGCTCCCCTCCAAAAAAAGCCCAAAACAAACAACAGATTTAGGTGCAGGAATGACCTCTCTTCTCTAGTACCTCTTTTCTGTTATTAATTAGTTCTTTCTTAGTCACTGTGACAAATAGCAGAGTGAACAGTTTTAAGAGGAGGAACAATTTCTTTTGCCTCATAGTTTTAGGTCTCATGGTAAGCTAGATGTCAATTCTGGATTGGGGTGAGGCAGTATATCAGGGTAAGGAGCATGTGGTGGAACAGAATATCTCTCTTCATGGCAGAAGGAGGCAGAGTATCAGAGGAAAGGAGTAGAGTTCCAGAATACCCCTCAAAAACATGCCCCCATGATTCCTTTATTCCAACTGTGCTTCACTTTCCACAGAAGTCCCATCACATCCCAACAGTCTATTCAAACTTTGGATCTATCAATGGAATGAAGCCATTGAAGACAGAGTGTTCATGATCTAATCATTTCTCTTACCCCACCAAGTATCAGGCCTTGGGGCTGGGATGGTGGCTCAATGGTAGACTGCTTGCCTTGCATGCATGAGGCGCTCTGTTTGATTCCTTAGCACCACATAAGCAGAAATAAGCTGGCTTAAGTGGTAGAGCGATAGCCTTGAGCTGAAGAGCTGAGAGGCAGCACCCAGGCCCAGAGTTCAGGCCCCACAACCAACAAAAACAACAAAACACAAGTATCAAGCCTTCAGTTCATAAGCATGTTAGCTTGATGTTTCATATTCAGAACATATCAGTAGCTTACAATAGAACTGGTTAATAAGCTGGGCGAGGTGGCTCACGCCTGTAGTCCTAGCTACTCAGGAGGCTGAGAGCTGAGGCTCACGATTCAAAGCCAGCCCAGGCTAGAAAACCAGAAGTGGCGCCTTGGCTCAAGCAGTAGAGCACTTGCCTTGAGCTGAAATGCGCAGGGACAACGCCCAAGCCCAGAGTTCAAGCCCCACTATGGACCAAAAAAAAACCCAAAAAACAAAAAACCACTGGTTAATACTTCAAGTTGCCTGGTAAGAACACTTATTTAGTACCTTCTTTTGACTGAGCACTGTTTTTTTTTTTTTTTGGGTCCGGTCATGGGGCCTGAACTCTGGGCCTGGGCGCTGTCCCTCAGCTCTTCAGCTCAAGGCTAGCGCTCTACCACTTGAGCCATAGCGCCACTTTCGGCTTTTTTCATTTTGCTTATGTGGTGCTGAGGAATTGAACCCAGGGCCTCTGGCATGCAAGGCAAGCACTCTACCACTGAGCCACCTTCCCAGCCTGAGCACTGTTTTTAACAGTGGATAGGGACAGTATAGGCTTTGAGCATTAGCTGATAATATAGAGACAGAACATAAATGAAACTGAAGAACTTTTATAAAGCAGCCAGTATATCATTTGCTTTGTTACTTTAGAATCTCATTTACTTGACTTTACCTCCCAGGGTCAGGGCTAGCACAAAATATATTTGGTGTCTTAATTCCAGATAGGCGAGAAATGAGAGGTGGCTTTTAGTGAGGGATTTTTTTTTTTCCTTAATGTTTGGAAATGTTATAAATCTTGGTTGAGAGTTTGGGATAATCCTTGTAACTTTCTACTTGAAGATTATTTAGAATAGTCCCAGTTATAGACAGGGCCAAGAAACAGACTCATTTCAGGGCTTTTCAGTAATCTTTTGTTTTCATGAAAGTTCTCAATGACTGTAAGTGTTCTGTAACAACAGAATTTTTGAAAATTTTATGAAAATGATTTTTAAAAATACAGCAAGGGCCAGGCACCAGAGGCTGAGATTTGAGGGTTGTGGTTGGAAGTCAGTTCTAGCAGAAAAGTCCCCATGAGACTCTTATCTCCAATGAACCACTCAAAAACCAGAAATGGTGCTGCTCTGGCTCAAGTGGTAGAGCGCTAGCCTTGAGCACAGAGAGCTCAGGGATAGTGCCCAGACCCTGAGTTCAAGCCTCACAACCAACCAAAAAAAAAAAAAATCAGCAAGGTTAGTGTTCTCATCTCTGTAGTTAGAGCTGGTTGCATTTAATGCAGAATATTGTAGCATACTTTCTTCACATTATCATTATCTGTGGTATCTATTCTTTTCTCCTTTCGTCTATCTTTTCCTCTCCTTTTTCCTTCTGTCTTTGTCTCTTTGTTCCTCGTTCCTCTCTTTTTCTCTACATACATTCATTTATTCATTCTGCTTTCATTTAGTCTAAATGATTCATCTTTCCTTCCTCTCCCTTCTCCTTTTCCTTTTCTTCTTCCTTTACCACTATCCTATCCCTACCCCCTACATTTCTAATAAAATAAAAAGCCACTTAATTATATTTAAGATGACTTAGAATAATTCTCCATTCCTTCAACATTAATCTGTTGTTTGAAGTACTTGATTCTGTGTGAAAAGTATAATATTCTTGTGTTGTCATGTTCTTATAATTGTAATGATCACTGTATTTATTACAACATTGTGTATTCATCTTTATTTTCTGTTATGTGGTTCTTAGGTTCAAAATTTAACATTACGTAGCCAGAAGTTGGGTGTACTGTCTAGCTCACAAAATGGTCCACCGAAAAGCACTAGTCAAACCCAGTCATTGACAATTTGTCATAACAAAACAACAGTGACCAGTTCTAAAATCAGCCAACGAGATCCTTCTCCAGAAAGTAACAAGAAAGGAGAAAGTCCAAGTCTGGAGTCAAGAAGCACAGCTGTCACCCGGACATCAAGTATTCACCAGTTAATAGCACCAGGTAGGATAAAATTTTTGTTGAAAATAGTTGCATCATTTATTTTCTTAGAAGATAGAGCAAAATGAAAAGAATGACATTTGAAAACCATTTTAAAATGTGTATTTCATTAATTAAAAGAATGACATTTGAAAACCATTTAAAAATGTGCATTCCATTAATTAAAGAAAAGCATCTTACTGTATACATTAAAAAATTTTGAGAGCTGGAGAGCCTAGTTCAGTGGTAAGAGTGTTTGCCTAGCAAGCACAGGCCCTGCGTTCAAATCCCAATACTGCCAAACATAATTTCCTTTGTTGCAACAACTTCAGGTAAGGATCTTCTTTCTATTCTTTCATATTCTGCTTTACTTTTTAGACTTATTATATGTGACTAAAATGTGCTTGTTCCTTCATTTAACTTCTTTTTTTCTTTCAGTTTTCTTTTCTTTTTTTTCTTTTTATTTTTTTATTGTGAAAATACTGTACCAGAGGGGTTACAATTACATGGGCAAGATAATGAGTACATTTCTTATCAAGCATTGTAGCCTCCTCCTTTGTTTCCCCTTCCCATCCTCCCCCCCCGGCCCCCACCTCAATCCCTCCCCCCTCCCCCCCAGTTCATTTAACTTCTTTTCATATTTCAAGCCCTATAACTGGGAAAAGAAAACAACAACAACAACAACTACATGATCTTTTGCAGAGCACCACATTTTTTCTCTTCTTTTTTCTCTCTTTGGTCAGTTGTGGGACTTGAACTCTGGGCCTGGGCACTGTCCTTGAGCCTCTTGGTGCTCACGGCTAACACTCTACCATTGGAGCCACAGGGCCATTTCCAGTTTTCTGGTGGTTCATTGGAGATAAGAGTCTCACGGACTTTCCTGCCCTGGCTGGCTTTAAACCATGATCCTCAAATTTCAGCCTCCTGAGTAGTTAGGATTACAGGCATGACCTACCAGTGCCCCGTAAGTACCACATGTCTGAATTTGTTTAAACCTCATGCTGTAGTTCTTCAAAATAATACATGTTTTATGACAAAGCCACAGCTATGTTTCACTCTTGGTTCCTGTCTTCTTATTGATGGGAAGTAGATCTGAAACTAAGATTATTTTGAGAGATTTTAGAATTGGCAATGTCTTTTTCATCAATTAGAACTGTGTCTATAGGTTATATGTTATGTTTTTAGGTAGTGTTGTCTAATTATTATTATAATTGGTATTATTGTTTTTTTACATGTATTTTAGAGTGCTAAAATAGTTGAATTTTCTTTACCATTTTTTCCTTGAAGTGGAGTTTCAGCTTGTTAGTTGGTAATTCTATTTTTATTTTCATTTTTTCTTTATTTAAAAAAATTTAAATTATTATTATAAAGGTGATGTACAGAGGGGTTACAGTTACGTAAATCAGGTAGAGTACATTTCTTTTTGAACAGTGTCACCCCTTCCCTTGCTCTTTCCCAGTTTTTCCTCTCCCATCCCACAAGTTGTTGTATAGTTCATTTCAACATAGTATCCAGTGAGTATAATTGCTGCATTTGCTCACCCTTCGTCCCTCCATTTCTGTGCCTCCCCTTACAGTGATAAAAACATAAAAAATAAACAAGCAGAACAAAAAGGGAAGAAAAGGTCCAGTGCTTGTGGCCTACACCTATAATCCTAAGCTACTCAGAAGGCTGAGATCTCAGGATTGCTATTTGGAGCCATCCCAGACAGGAAAGTCTGTGAGACTCTTATTTCCAGTATACTACTCAGAAAAAGCTGGAAGTGATGCTGTGGTTTAAATGGTAGACCTCTTGCTTTGAGTACAGGCTCAGGGATAGCACCTAGGCCCTGAGTTCAAGCCCCAGGACCAGCACAAAAAAAAAAAAGGAAAGAAAACAAAAACAGCATTTTTTTCATTTCCTGGAGTTCATTTTGGTAAATAGTATTTTATATGAACAGATGAACATAGGCATTGTGCCTTTCTATTTTTAGTATATAAAAGTAAGGTGAAGTTTAACCAAATGTCTGGAAATCATGAATTGCATTAGACTGAAGTTTGTAAAGCAATTTTTAGGGCTTTTATGCAGTATTGTAGTTGAAAAAAATATATACCTATATTTTGTGTAGTGAAAATATTGTGTGGTTTGCTATTGCTGCCGTAAACAAGTTACCATAGTTTAGGAAGCTAGAAAGCCCAAGACAGGCCTGGCAATGCCAGTTTCAGGTGAGGGATCTCTTCTTGGCTTGTAGAGGCTTTCTCGCTGTGTTCACACATGGCCTTCCTCAGAATACAGAGAATGATGGAGGGGATCTCTCTGAGGGCTCTTCTTACTGGTACACTACTCCCCATCAAGTCAGTGCCCTCTCACTTTTTGTTTTTTGCAACTTCTTTATTGTGATTAAGTGATTACATAATTTTGCAAATTTTACAGTATTGTGGGACAGTGATGCTTAGTTAAATTCATAGACACATTCTAACTTTCATGGGGCAAATTGTCTATTGTGGTCTATAAAGTTTATGAGTTCTATCAGCTTTGACAATACAGTTATTTCTTCCACATCGGGTAATGTGCACATTCCTTTCCTTTTGCATAGTGTCCCTCTTTCCCACTCATTTCCTCCCTCCCATCGCTGCCATTGAGTTGCTTGGTTCGTTTTGATCAAAGTCCAGTCCAGCTGATGGGTCCCATTGTTGTATGTTTTTTCCTTATTCCCTCTAGTTCTGTGTCCTCATCCTAGTTTCCCTCCAGTGAACAGACATATACCATATGTATGATCAGCAGCATGGGGTAATTTAGTAGTGATTTGACCAGATGAGTGAAGGTCTTTTGATTCTCAAGTCTTATTAACTTTGTCGTATAATCTTAACGTTTTGGATTTAACATCTACTTACCAGGGAGACTATGTGATGTTTGTCTCTTTGCTCTTGGCATACCTCACTCAACATGATTTCTTCTAGTACCATCCATTTCCCTGCAAATGCCATTATTTTGTCCTTTCTAATGGCTGCATAATATTCCATTATGTATAGATACCACAATTTTTGGATCCACTCATCTGTGGTGGGACATCTGGGTTGTTTCCATATCCTGGCTATTGTGAACAGTGCTGCAATGAACATGGAGGTGCATGTGTCCTTGTATATTGGTTCCTGTTGTGCAGGATAGATGCCTAGGAGTGGTATGGCTGGGTCATAGGGGAGGTCAATATTTAGCTTTCTAAGGACCTTCCAGACTGCTTTCCAAAGTGGTTGTATAAGTGTACATTCCCACCAGCAGTGTAATAGGATTCCTCTTTCTCTGCATCCCCTCCAGCGTTTGTCGTTGGCTGATTTTAGGATGTGGGCCATTCTGACTGGGGTAAGGTGGTATGTCAGGGTTGTCTTTATTTGCATTTCCTGTACAACCAGGGAGGGGGAACATTTCCTCATGTGTTTCTTTGCCATTTTTATCTCTTCTTCTGAGAAGTCTCTCTTTAGTTCCTTTGCCCACTTAGTAATGGTTTGTTAGATTTGGGAGAGATTAGTTTCTTGAATTCCCTGTATATATTGGATATTAACCCCTTGTCTGATACATTGCTGGTAAATATTTTTTCCTAGTTAGTTGGTTGTCTTTCTAGCTTGGTTGCTATGTCTTTAGCTGTGCAGAAACTTTTTAAGCTAGTCTCATTTGTCTGGTCTCTCTCCAATTTATTGTGACTCTGGAACTATGTTCAGGAAGTTCCTGCCTGTGCCTATAAGTTCAAGTGTCTCTCCTACTCTGTCCTGCAGTAGTTTCAGAGATTCAGGTTTGATGTTATGATCTTTAATCCATTCTGAGTTGATGTTGGTGCATGGTGATAGGCTGGGGTCCACTTTTAGTTTTCTGCATGTGGCCGCCCAGTTTTCCCAGTGCCAGTAGTTGAAGAGGCTGTGCTTCTTCCACTGTATGTCTTTGGCTCCTTTGTCAAATATCAGCTGACTGTAGGCATGTGGTTTTCTTTCTGGATCTTCTGTTCCATTGGTTTTTGGGTCTGTTTTTGTGCCAGTCCATGCTGTCTTTGTTATTATGGCTCTATAGTAGAATTTGAAGTCTGGCGTCGAGATCCCTTCCATGTTGTCTTTTTTGCCTAGAGGTGTTTTGGCTATTCTAGGTCTTTTGTTGTTCCATATGAAATTTTGTACATCATTGGAATTTTAATAGGAATTGCATTGCATTTGTATATTAATTTTGGCAGCATGGCCATTTTCACTATATTAAGTCCCAAGAGCATGGAAGGTCTTTCCATTTCCTGGTGTCCTCTGTAATTTCATTTTTTATAGTTTTTTGTTAAACTGTATTTTTTTTGTCTTTTCTTTTTTGGTACTGGGGATCGAACCCAGGACGTTGCACTTGCTAGGCAAGCCCTTTGCCACTGAGCTACATCCCAGCCCTTTTTTTTTTTTTATAGTTTTTATAGTTTTCATTAAATAGTTCTTTTACATCTTTGGTTAGGTTAATTCCTAAATATTTTATTTCCCTTTCTGCTTGTACATTGTTTGTGTACAAGAAGGCAGCTGATTTTTGTGATTTTGTATCCTGCTACTTTGCCGAAGTGGTTTATAAGTTCTGAGTTTGGAGGTGGAGTTTTTGGGATCATGGAGGTATAGTATCATGTCATCTGCAAAAAGGGATAGTTTAACTTCTTCTTTCCCTATGTGGATCCCTTTAATGTCTTTTTCTTGCCTTACTGCTCTGGCTAAGGATTCCACGACTGTATTGAAAAGGAATGGAGAAAGTGGACATCCTTGCTTTGTTCCTGATTTTAGGAGAATCGGTTGTAGTTTTTCCCCATTAAGTATAATATTGGCTATTGATCTGCCATATATGGCTTTTATTGTTTTAAGGAATGTTCCTTCTGTTCCTATTTTCTCCAGCACTTTTTTTTTTTGGTCGGTCATGGGGCTGGCTTGAACTCTGGGCTTGGGCAGTGTCCCTGCGCTCTTCAGCTCAAGGCAAGTGCTCTACCGCTTAAGCCAATGCGCCACTTCTGGTTTTCTAGTGGGTTTTTATTGGAGATAAGAGTTTCAGGGCTTTCCTACCTGGGCTAGCTTTGAACCTCATCCTCAAATCTCAGCCTCCTGAGTAGCTAGGATTACAGGCGTGAGCCCCCAGTGCCTGGCTTCTGCCTTTTATTTATTTTTATTTATTTATTTATTTTAATTTTGGCTTCTGCCTTTTAACATGAATAAATGTTGTGTCTTATCAAAAGCCTTTTCTGCATCAATGGAGATAATCATATGGTTCTTTACACTTGGATCTGTTGATGTGTTGGATTACATTTATTGATTTACATATGTTAAACCATCCCCAGGTCTCTAGGATGAAGCCTACACACGTGTGTGTGTGTGTGTGTGTGTGTGTGTGTGTGTGTGTGTGTATTTTTTAATGTGTTTCTGGATATTGTTAACTAGAATTTTGTTAAGGATCTTTGCATCTGTGTTCATCAAGGAGATTGGTCTGTAGTTCTTTTTTGTTGGGTCTTGCCTGGTTTGGGATGAGTGTGATATTGGCATCATAGAATGAGTTTGGGATAGCTCCCTCCTTTTCTATTTCTCTGAAGAGCTTAAGGAGTGTGGGCATTAGTTCTTCTTTAAAGGTCTTACAGAATTCCGTTGTGAATCTACCTGGTCCTGGGCTTTTCCTTGTTGGAAGACTTCTGATTGTTTCCTGTATCTCATTGTAAGATACTGGATTATTTGACTTGTTTCTTCTTTGCTCAGTTTGGGCAACTTGTATTTCTCTAAAAATGAATCCATTTCTGCTAGGTTTTCTTTCTTTAGGGCATATAGCTTTTGAAAATAGTTCTTTATAATTGTTTGGATGTCTTGGGTGTTTGTGATTTTTCTCATGGCATCCCTAATCTTGTTAATTTGGGTTTCCTCTCTTTTTAATTAATCTTGCCAAAGGTCCATCAATTTTATTTATTTTTTCAAAATACTAGCTTTTTATTAATTTTATTTATAATTTTCCTCTATCGTTAATTTCAGCTCTTAATTTGGTTATCTGGCTCTGTCTAGTAACTTTAGGTTCTTTTTTTCATGTTTTTCTAGCAGTTTTAATTGCAACATGAGATTATTTACTTGGTCTGTCTCTTATTGTGAAAATACCGTACAGAGGAGTTACAATTACATGGGCAAATAATGAGTACATTTCTTATCAAGCATCGTTGCCTCCTCCTTTGTTTCCCCTTCCTGTCCCTTCCCATCTCCCTGTCTCTACTTTCTTGATGTGGGCACTGAGGGTGGTAATTTTGCCCCTCAGGACTGCTTTTGCTGTGTCCCACAGGTTTCTTTTTGATGTGTATTCATTTTCATTAAATTGTAGGAACTTTTTAATTTCTTCTTTGATTTCTTCTGTTACCCAGGTTTTGCTTAGAAGCGTGCTGTTCAATTTTCCATGTATTTGAGTAATTTCTACGGTATGATTTGTTACTGAGAACTAGCTTAATTTTACTGTGGTCGGATAGGATACAGGGGATTATGTCAATCCCCTTGTATTTGCCTAAGTTCCTTGTATGAACTATGGTATTATTTTGGAGAAAGTTCCATGGGCTGCTGAGAAGAATGTGTACTGTGCATTTTAGGGTGAAAAACTCAGTATATGTCAGTTAGTTTCCCTTGAAATATGGCCTCACTTAATTTGGTAGCTTCTTTGCCAGTCCTCTGGTTGGTAGACCTGTCCTTTGGTGACAGTAGGATATTAAAGTCTCCTAGTATTATCGTGTTTGGATCTATTTTATTGTGTAAGTTTGAGAGTATTTGCTTAACATATTTGGGTGCTCCAATGTTTGGGGAGTATAAGGTGATAATGGTAATATCCTCTTCTTGGATCCCCTTATTCTTTATTACCACGTTTAGCCTAAATTAATTCTCTAGAATTTACATCTGTTAACACAATGACATTGAAGGTAAAGGCCTTAACATCAGAATTGGGGGGGGGGGTGCATCAACAGTTCGTAACCCAGCCCTGTGCCACACTCAGTGTTATGAATTCTTTTTTTTTTTTTTTTGTCGGTCGTGGGGCTTGAACTCTGGGCCTGGGCGCTGTCCCTCAGCTCTTCAGCTCAAGGCGAGCGCTCTACCACTTGAGCTACAGCGCCACTTCCCGAATTAATATTTTTTAGCTATTAATTTCTTTAAAGTATGCTTAAATGTAAAATAGTAATCTAACACAAAAATTTTAAAAATGGAAGGTTTTTAAAAACGAGATTTCTGTTGCAAATGTGGTTTGAATGTAAAAGTAAATTCAAGGATTTACATAGCTTCTATCTTAACATTCTTAGTTTTAACAACAAAAAAATCTGTCCTGTCTTTAAATGTTTTTTGTTGTTGTTATTGTTGTGTAATTGTTCTTTTTTTGGCAGTATCAGAGTTTGATCTAAGAGCTTCACATTTGCTCTGCTTGCTTGCTCTGCTTGAACCATGCTACTAGCCATGCTGTTTTGCTCAGTCTGGCTTTGAACCGTGATCCTCTGGCTCTCAAGCCTCCTGAGTAGCAATGATTACACACATGAACTACCAGTTCCCAGCTTTTAAAATATAATTTTTTACTTATAGTATAAGTAGTTATTTTACCATCTGGTGCACCCAGATTCCAATTTTATATTTCACTAGCATCTCCCTGTGTCTAAACATGAGAGCCAGTCTGTAGAGGAGGACTAGTGATGGGGGAGCTACTCACAGCAGATTTTTGTTTTGGGGTAACTTGGTAGTAGGGTTTGAGCTTGGAGCTTTATAGTTGCGTGCGGGCAGTCTATCACTTGAGCCCATTCCCAACCCATTTTGTTTTCATTATTTTTCAGATAGGTCTTGCATGTCTGCTTCCCATGTAGCTGGGATGACAGATTTGTAGTTGGATGAGATAGTCTCATGAACGCAAACCATAATCCAGTTTCGGCCTTTCTGCTGGCTAGGATTATAGGCATGATCTACTGCTAACTACTCACGACTTAATGATAATAATTTTTTGTATTTATCTGTGTTGTGAGTAGCTCCTGTGAAGAAGATCTAATATCACTTAGAATTTGTGTGAGAGAGAGGTAAACAGGATCTTTTATTTAGATAGGATGGCTTCTGATTGCCTCATTTTCTGCAAGTAAAACTAATCTCTTAGATTTGGAATGGTCATTAAGTTTCAGTTCTTTTCTAATCATATAATAAGACTTCATCCAACTCATTTAGAAATTCATTTGGGAATCTTCAGCTAATTGCTTTGACTTTTAGTTAGAAGTGTGTTTTGTCATAGGAAGGATGAGATTTTTTATTAATAACGATGATTTTGAAGTCACTTTTAGATATACATACTGGTTCTGTAAGGATACTTCCCTTTTATTTCAAAGAAGAAATGCTACAGACTGTTCTGGTAACCTGTAAAATTTATTAACAAGTTATGTAAAGTTTAGATTTATGAATAGATTTTTTTTTTTTGGGTCCGGTCGTGGGGCCTGAACTCTGGGCCTGGGCACTGTCCCTCAGCTCTTCAGCTCAAGGCTAGCACTCTACCACTTGAGCCACAGCGCCACTTCTGTCTTTTTTCTTTTTGCTTATGTGGTGCTGAGGAATCGAACCCAGGGCCTCGAGCATGCAGGCAAGTGCTCTACCACTGAGCTACCTTCCCAGCCCTATGAATAGATTTTTTTGGCAGTTTTCTTTTGGATCCTTTTGTAACAGATTTTATCCAAGTTTTTTGTTACCAAATTTCAAATCACTTGTATCTAAGAGTTGTAATAGAATTCTAAGCCGGGCGCTGGTGGTTCACAGCCGGGCGCTGGTGGTTCAAGCCTGCAATCCTAGCTACTCAGGAGGCTGAGATCTGAGAATCGAGGTTCCAAGCCAGCCCGGGCAGGAAAGTCCGTGAGACTCTTATCTCCAATAAACCACTAGAAAACTGGAAGTGATGCTGTGGCTCAAGCTGTAGAGCGCCCGCCTTGAGCTGAAGAGCTGAAGGACAGCACCCAGACCCAGAGTTCAAACCCCATGACCGACCAAAAAAAAAAAAAAAGAATTCTAGTGATTATGACCTGATGTGGAAACTTTTCTTTATATTTATTTAGAACTTCGTGTATATTTTTAGAACTTTGTATGTTTTTGAAATCAATACTAATTGTCATTTTTTCTTTCTCACAGCTTCTTATTCTCCAATTCAGCCTCATTCTCTAATAAAACATCAACAGATTCCTCTTCATTCACCACCTCCCAAGGTTTCCCATCATCAGCTGATATTGCAACAGCAACAGCAGCAAATTCAGCCAATCACTCTTCAGAATCCAACTCAAGATCCGCCCCCATCCCAGCACTGTATACCACTCCAAAACCATGGCCTTCCTCCAGCTTCCAGTAATACTCAGTCACAACATTGTTCACCAATTCAGAGCCACCCCCCTCCTTTAACTGTATCTCCCAATCAGTCACAGTCAGCCCAGCAGTCTGTAGTGGTGTCTCCTCCACCACCTCATTCACCAAGTCAGTCTCCAACTATAATTATCCATCCACAAGCACTTATGCAGCCACACCCTCTTGTGTCATCAGCTCTTCAGCCAGGACCAAATTTGCAGCAGTCCACTGCTAATCAAGTGCAGCCAACAGCACAGCTGAATCTTCCATCCCATCTTCCACTTCCAGCTTCCCCTGTTGTACACATTGGCCCAGTTCAGCAGTCTGCCCTGGTGTCCCCCGGTCAGCAGATTGTGTCTCCAACATCACACCAACAATATTCAGCCCTTCAGTCCTCTCCAATTCCAATTGCAACCCCACCACAGATGTCAACATCTCCTCCAGCTCAGATTCCACCACTGCCCTTGCAGTCTATGCAGTCTTTACAAGTGCAGCCTGAAATTCTGTCCCAGGGCCAGGTTTTGGTGCAGAATGCTTTGGTGTCAGAAGAGGAACTTCCGGCTGCAGAGGCTTTGGTCCAGTTGCCATTTCAGACCCTTCCTCCTCCCCAGACTGTTGCAGTAAATCTACAAGTACAGCCACCAGCACCTGTTGATCCACCAGTGGTAAGCCCTTGGAAGCTCTTTGACTTTCTTGATGAAATGAAAGTAAAAACTGTTCTCTCCCATATTGTATTATGTTGCTAACTAAATGCCTGTGAATTTAAAAAGTTTGGGTTTTTTATATGTCATTCTGACAAACATGCTATATGGGCAAAAAAAAAATTGCCATTATTGGTTGTAGAATGGTTGCATGCTTGATAATTTGTGATGGTTAAAGTCCCTCGTTAATTTTATTACTATTTAAACAAATCCATCTGCTATCTTTACAGAGTTGATTTTTTTTCCCCAAGGGAATGCATTTGAACCAGTGTCATCTGCACAAAGTTTTTTCTCTTAAGGTGATTATCCTTCATAGATCCCTTCTGTTGGCTTGTGTGTTCTTAAACGTATGGTTTATCTAGCTAAGCTTTTGGTGGTGTGCATTCTGAAGTCCTGGGCCTCAAGGTGGAGGAGATATTCTTATAAACTGTACTTTTTTGATGAAATCACATTTTATAATTAAAATCTTGTGAAAAAAATCTGTTCTAGGAAAGTCCAACTTTGCAAAAAATATTAACTGATTTTAAAAAAGCTTATACTAAGAAAAATATATACTTAATGTTTCTGTTATATATATATATATAAATATCACTTTAAAAGCTCACACTTTCAGTAATGACTTTAATATTAATAATGGAAATAGTTAAACATTGGGAAGTATGAATGAAACTCATCAGAATAAAGTTCTAAAAATGATATGTTATCTAGAAAGGAAAATAACCTTGTAAATTATTTTAAAACGTTATCTAAATGAACTTAAGATTTATAACCTAATTTCAAATAAAATTGAAATAAGATCTGAAAATGTTTTATCAGAATGATAAAAAGCATAGTTTCTAAGGGTGGAAGGGGAAAACAAAAAAAAAACAACAACAAAGCAAACAAAAACAAAAAAAATCCCAAAATCATAGTTTCTGAGAGGAATCTTCCTAAAAGGAGATTTTATATCAAACCTCACTGAAGAAATTTTATCACTTAAAAACTTATAACCTTTAGCTAAAGGAATTTCAATGCTTTTGGAATACTTTGGATCTCAGGATGCACATTTATAGATATTTTATTCTCATCATTCTGATTAATCTTACTCGGCATAAAGAGATTGAATTTTAGCTGGACCTGGTGGTGCACATCTATAATCCCTGCACTTGGGAGGCTGAAACAGGAAGATGGCAAGGCTGGGCTATGATAGTAAAAGACATTGTCTCATTAAAAAACACCAAAAAACCCAAAAACGATTTTGAATCCCATTTTCCCTTCCCTTTTTAGAACTAGAACTTGATAAAAAAAAAACAGCAGTTCTAGAAACGTTTGTCCTTTAAGTACCTTAACTCTGTGTTTTCTTTTAAAGGATTGTGAAGAGCTTACTGTGGGTATTGTAGCATAAACACTATAGCTCAGTGGCAGAACTCCTTCTTAGCATACATAGACCTAGGTTCAATCCCTAGTATTGCAGAAGTAAGACAAAAATAAAACTACACTTTTAGAAACGTATGGCATTTTCAAAGAAATCAAATTTAATTTAAATTCAATTTTCTTCCTAGTTTTGTGATTTGATTCCAACAAGTGAGAAATCTTTTCTATATTCCTTTTCTAACTTTTTTTTAATGTGAAGGGAAACAAATATATTTGGGTAGAAATATCAAACACTTTAAAATTACAGCCCAAAATAGTATGGTTCTATTTTGTTGGTTTCTGCCCTATTTTTAAAAATTCTCCTTAAAATAAAAAAAGTTGTGTCTTATTTTTGGAAGCCTTTTTCTTAAGTTATTAATACCTTTTTCTGCTCTAACTTATTTAATTGTATGCTTGCTGTAGATTTCCTGTTGTCTTTGCTTCTTTCTTTTCCTTGAGTAACTGGTCTGGTTATTTAATTGCTATGTTTTTCTTTTATTATCTTTGACTGCTTTAAAAAAATCACAAATGATAGTTTCATGGTTATTTCAAATACTAAAGGTAGAGAGATATTGCTTAAAAGATGTGAAATTTTGAAAGATAAAAGTAAAATCAGTATATATTTTAAAGTTACATTTATAAAAGAATTAGTTTTATTGACATTTAAATAAATAAGTTATGTTGAGGGTAGATAATTTAGAACTAATAAACAAATGTTCCTCAGTTTATTTAGGAAAGGGACACATGGGCATAATGGACTTTATTGAGGTAAGTTTGGCAGTCTTTGTTATTTTTAGAGTAGTTATAGTTCTGAGCTAAACAGAATTTATGATGTACAGTTTCATAATGATGTTGTGAGCAAACTTTCCATCTCTTCACTTTCTTCAGTATTTTAGTTGTTGCATCTAGATTTCTTTGTGCCAATCATGCCAGATGTCTGTGATCGATATGTTTTGCCTTTACATGAGAAGAAGTTAGCCTTAACTATGAAGTATGAAAAGCATTTCACAGTATCCCTTAATGGGTTATTTTTAAAAAATGCTATTTGTATTATGGTTCTTTCCATCTTTTAAAAACACTTTATTTTTAAAAATAAATTCCATGCTTGATCATGGCTTGATTCCTTAAAAGATACTGTGGCAGATACTTGAATAATATATGACAAGATTAAAGAGATTTCCCTCTTCCTTGTAGTAAAAGATAATTATCTAAAACAGGAAATGCTATCTATATAGATAAATTGAGCTAGTTAATAAAATCATACTTGTTTATTCTGGGTCAATTCCTCTACAACTCAGGCAAATGAATCACTGAATAGATGCTTCTGTATACTAACAGTGGTCTATTGATGTTTGTCAACTGCCAAATATTTTTGTGGATGATTTTTCTTGTAGAGATCATTATCACCATTTAAAAAATTACTGTTGCCATGACTAGATACTAGTAGTCACCATTGTTGAACTGTGTAGTAACAAATAACTGCTTTCAATTCTGAGATCCACACTCTAGCAGAGAAGTCTCTGTGGTGAAACAATGTTATAATTGAAGGGTTGTAAGCAGGTATCTTTAAATATGTTGCCTGTTTAGTTGATTTGGATCATAGTTTAGGATATTATATTTGGTATAAAGATAACAGTAATCTTTTAAAGAAAAAGATGTTTTATTCTTAGAGATTTGGAAAGATTTCTAAAAAAAATCATTGCTTGTTAATTTCTTCCTTTATAACTAAAACCTCACACTGTCTTTTTTATATATGGTTTGTGCTGGATTCAGAAGTTTTTATTACTTACCTGTATGATTTTTATATATTTCTAGCATCAATCCTTTTCAGTAGTTTAGTTAAAATACAATATTAGATGTTATTTAAAAGTTATTTTATGAATGTTTTTTCATGGTTTAGATTTGTTGGAATGTTAATTAAATAACATAAAGAATCTTTCTATACTTAAGTAAAAGATTTGTACCTAAAAGAAAGGAGGTAGCCGGGCGTGGGTGGCTCACACCTATAATCCTAGCTACTCAGGAGGCTGAGATCTGAGGATCACAGTTGAAAGCCAGCCCAGGCAAGGAAAGTCCACGAGAGTTTTATCTCCAATAAACCACCAGAAAACCGGAATTAGTGTTGTGGCTCATGTGGTAGAGTGCTAACCTTGAGCTGAAGTTCAGCTCAGGGACAGTATCCAGGCTCAGAGTTCAAGCCCAATGACCACCCAAAAAAAAAAAAAAAAGACACCATTTCTACAAACGTTCTTTGAAAATTAAGCCTTAAATTTAATGAAATATTACTTCTAGTTACATAGCTCCTTCTCAGAGAGCTTTCTTTCTTAATTATAATCTTTATAATGGAACGAAAAGGTAAAGGCTTTAAGGCTTCCTCCATTGGTATGGAATATTGGCTAAAAAATTCATCTGAATGGCTTTGGAAGTATATGTATGTGTGTGTTGTTTTAGAGAAAGATATTTATTTGACTTATTTGAACAGAAAGGAAAACCATAATTGCACATCTTCTTTTCAGATATTAGTTTCCATAATTTAATCTTGAATTCACATAATAAGAATAAAGAAGAGCTTAGGATTTATTTCTTCTGACAATATATTTTCTATTATACATTACTCTGCAAATTTACTTAATGTGCCTGTGAACATTATTAGTATCTGTTTTAGTTTATGAAAATGGATACTAATTTTCACATAAACTCTTCTATTGGAAATGAATACAAACAATAGTGTGATTCTTGAAGTAGTTATTTGTGTAAAGTAAAATCTTTTTAAAAAAATCTTTTAAAAATAATTGTTAAATATATTCTTTTAAAAATAATTCCCCAAAAAATTAAAAAGTCACCATCCTTAGTAATTTTTGCTTAAAAAGTGATCCAGCTTGTTTTCATTGAAATATCAATTATTATGAAAGACTTGAATGGCTTTAAGGTTTTTCTGTCAATGTGTCAGAATACTCATTTTGCCTTGGTTTTAAATTTTTTTTTTTTTTTTTGGGGGTTTTGGTCGGTCGTGGGGCCTGAACTCTGGGCTTGGGCGCTGTCCCTCAGCTCTTCAGCTCAAGGCGAGTACTCTACCGCTTGAGCCACAGTGCCACTTCCTGTTTTTAAATTTAATACATTAGAATTTGTTTTTTTTGTTTTTTAAGTTAAGAGCACTTCTTTCTGTGTGCTTTTGTAGACGTTTTAAGGCAATATGGTTTGTCATTTCAGGTTTACCAGGTTGAAGACATGTGTGAGGAAGAAATGCCTGAAGGGTCGGATGAATGTGTCCGCATGGACAGAACCCCCCCACCGCCCACTTTGTCTCCAGCGGCTATCACTGTGGGAAGAGCTGAGGATTTGACCTCTGAACATCCTTTGTTGGGTAAGGAAGAACCAAAATATTGTTGAAATTAATAATGTTAATAATAGGAGATATTGTTCCATTAGAGATGATATTAAACTAATGTGTTACTTCAAAGTGCAGCAAAAAATAGAATATAAATTTTTATGAATAATTTTACTAAAGAGCAAATAGTAATTATTTGCCTTTTTGGAAAATTATTCCTTTTTTTTTTTTTTTTTGGCTAGTCCTAGGGTTGGCGCAAATCAGAGCCTGGGCACGCACCATTTGAGCCACAGTACCACTTCTGGCTTTTTCTGTTTATGCAATACTGAGAAATTGAACCCAGGGCTTCATGTATGCTAGGCAAACACTTGAGCAGTAAGCCACATTCCCAGCCCAGAAAATTGTTTAATAGCAGGAAAGGTCAGTAGTTTATAAACTGGGTACCCACCACTTGAATGAAAAATCATGCCACTTCTACTATTCTTTTTCATATACATATTGAGGTTTATTTGTTGAGGTGCTTCTATCTTAAAAATTAGAGTAAACCAAGATTCTACCTAAAGATTTGAATTATGCTTTCCAAAAATTAAAAACATTTCAAGTCATATCTTATTTCTCAAAATTGCTGTGAAACAGCCTATTTTTACAGATTTCTTTTTCTTTTTTTTTCCTGGTTGTGGGGCCTTAACTCTGGGCCTGGGTGCTATCCCTCAGCTCTTCAACTCAAAGCTGGTGCTCTATCACTTGAGCCACAGGGCCACTTCCAGCTTTTTCTGATTATATGGTCCTAGGGAATCGAACCCAAGGGCCTCATGCATACAAGGCACTGAGCCACCTTCCCAGCCCCCAGATTTAATTCTTAAAGCTCTTTTTGTGCTAGTTAATATTCATAACATTGAATAGTTTCAGAGGACACATGCTCTTTACTAAAAAGTGTGCTGATCTGTGATCTAAGTAATACCAATATTAGTATAGCCTTTCTGTAACTATTCTGTTCTGTTGAATATCTCATGGCCTTCATGAACATTTTCAGCCAAAAAAACCCACTATAACTAACTATGGAGGTACTGACCCTGTCTGACAGCAAAGCAGCTCTTGCTCTGTTTAGTCATCATCCTTTTTCCTCCCCTTATCTATCTATCAATCTTTCTTTCTTTCCTCCTCTTCCTCTTCTTCCTCCTTCTCCTCCTCCTCCTCCTCCTCCTCCTTCTCCTTCTTCTTCTGTCCTGGGGCTTGAATTCAGGGCCTGGCACTGTCCCTGAGCTTATTTTGCTCATGGCTAACACACTCCACTTGAGCCACAGTGCCATTTCCTGCCTTTTCTGTTTATATGGTACTGAGGAATGGAACCCAGGAGTGCATGCATGCTAGGCAAGCATTCTACCACTAAGCCACATTCCTAACCATCTCCCTCATTTCCTTACTAATGTGACTCTGGAAAGCATAGAAGAGGAAAATCAACCTTCTTTTCTCCTTCTTGGAAATAGGAAATGTTTAGTCAACAAAGTTATATAAACTAAGACTGTTAGTTTATATTAGACTGTTATATTAAACTATTGCCTTTGTTTATTCAAATGCCATCTTAAAAGATTGATTTAAAGCCTTTGCTGGTTGTTCATGCCTGTAATCCTAAACTACTCAGGAGATTGAGATATGAGGATTGCAGTTCAAATCAGCCCAGGCAGGAAAGGCCATGAGCCATAAGACTTTTTTTTTTTTTAGTATTATTGTTGAGTTGATGCACAGAGGGTTACAGTTATATGAAACAGGTCATAAGGAATGAATACAATTCTTTTTGAACCGGATCTCCCTTCTGCCTCTCCTGGTTTTTCTTTCCTGTTCCAACCCACAAGATATCCAGTTTATTTTCTAGGTAGAGTCTGGCCTTGTTCCCCCTTGTGCCCTCTTTTACCCTCCCAAGTGCAAACTAACAAGAAAAAAGGAAAGGAAAACGAAACAGGCAACTATGGCAACTAAAAAATGTTTCATTTCCTCTTTTTGGAGTTCACATGAGACCCTTATCTCCCTCCAGTTAACTACTAGGAAACCAGAAGTGGTGCTGTGGCTCAAAGTGGTAGAGCATTAGCTTTGAGCAAAAGAGCTGAGGGACAGTGCCCAGGCTGTGAGTTCAAGCCCCATGACCGACCAAAAGAAAAAAAAAAGATTGATTTAAGTTTCTTCACACTCCAAGTGGATTTATGTTGCTGTAGATTTCTGGAATTTTGATTTAAAAGCTAAAATCCATGCTTTATTGAATAATGCATTTACAATGTGACTATAATTACAATATAAGTATTACTAATTTATTGACACCAAATACAGACACTTTTAGAACACATTAAATACCTTTACTTTTTTTTTTTTGGTCGGTTGTGGCACCTGAACTCTGGGCCTGCGCACTGTCCCTCAGCTCTTCAACTCAAGGCTAGTGCTCTACCACTTGAGCCACAGCACCACTTCTGGCCTTTTCTGCTTAAATGGTGCTGAGGAATCAAACCCAGGGCCTCATGCATGCAAGGCAAGTGCTCTACCACTGAGCTACCTTCCCAGTCCCTATCTTTTTTTTTTTTAAGAATCTAATTTGAGATCTTGCCAAGTTACTTGCAAGTAGACATTTTGATCTTTCTATAATTTACTTCAAACTTATCACTGGTCTGTAGCACACAGAAGGATAAGTACAGGCTGATGTTTAGAATAATTCTTAACCCAAATTGTGAAATAAACTAACTTGAAAAATAGACTTATTTCCATCCAAGGTTCAGTTTGAATAAATCTGTAATTCTATTTTTTTTTTTTGTGGAACTGGGATTTGAACTCAGTGCTTCAAGCGAGTGTTTTACTGTTTTTAAGCTATGCTTCTACCCAGAAAGTCCTCAAGACTAAAATTATCGATGCAAAGAAGTAGGAATAGTTCCTAGGTCTTGTGCAGAAAATGAAACTGTTCTATTTGCTGAGCTTCTGTTGTTTAAGGATTCTTATTATTCCTCTTCTACCTAACGAGGTTTTGAGCATCTGTGCTAGGTACTATCATTCCTTTTCATACTTAGGATAGAGTGGAGTTGACAGCAGTTAAGAGCATGCTTTCTAGAACCAAACCACTTGGGTGGCACAAAATCAGCCCACTGCTGATTTGCTATGTGCCATTACAACAAGTAATAGAATCTATCTGTCTACCCATAGACTAGTATTAAATCAAATGACTTACAACATGTAGGACATTGGACATGGTACTTGGTGTATGAATATCTAGTAATTATTGTTACTGTCTTTGCAGACATCTTTTCGTTTTTTTCTTTTACTTTTTTTTTTTGGGTCCAGTCATGGGGCCTGAACTCTGGGCCTGGGCGCTATCCCTCAGCTCTTCAGTTCAAGGCTAGCGCTCTACCACTTGAGCCACAGTACCACTTCCGGCTTTTTTTTTTTTTTTTTGCTTATGTGGTGCTGGGGAATAGAACCCAGGGCTTCATGCCTGCAAGGCAAGCGCTCTACCACTGCGTCACCTTCCTTGTTTTTCTTAAACCACCAGTCCTTGTTTTTCTTAAACATCTGTGCTCATAGCTATTCCTAGCTACCACCTGTTTCTATCTAGTGTAATACAGGCAGCAAAGGGTTTGTGGTACTAAATGGGAAGGTAAAGTCTCCATTTATTGTAGGCTGTCAAATTTCTCTTACTGTAGTCCTCAGAATTTGATGGGGGACGGATCACTGTGATTCAGTCTAACATCTTGCACTTGATACAGTGCTACACTGTTGAAGAGAGTTAAAAATAAAAAGCACATGTTTTTGCTGGGCATTGATGGCTCACACCTGTAATTCTAGATACTCGAGACTGAGATATGAAGATCACACTTCACAGCTAGCCTGGGCAGGAAAGTCCATGAGATTCTTATCCCCAGTAATCCCCAATTAACTACCAAAAAGCCAAGAAATGGAGCTGTCGCTTAAAGTGGTAGAGCACAAAATCTCAGGGACAGCGCCCAGATCCTGAGTTCTGAGATCAAGCCCCAGGGCTGGCACAAAATCAAGCCAAAAGGTACATGTTTTTTGAGGATTGGAGGCTCAGCTTCTTGAGATTAAGATGATGACCTGTGTAAATTATTAAAATTCCTGCTTACTCTGTAGATTTCGTGAGCCTTTTCCATTTTCATAGTATTTGCCTATCCGTTCTTACTATCTGGAATAAAGATATGAAACCATAGGAAATTTAGTATCTCTATAGCATAGAAACAATAACCAATTTTGTATTACTCTTGATAGAATTAAGACATTTTCATGTTTATAGCAGGGCAGTTACTGTACCCATGTTTCAATGATGACTGATCAAATTGCTCTTCTATAAAATGGGAACAACAGTAGTTTTATTAAGGTTATTGTACAGGCTAAATGAGATAAGTAGAAAGTTCTTAGAAACAATTTTTGTTGTTGTTTTTATGCTGGGGTCTGAACTCAAACTAAGCACTGTCTCTGAGCTCCTTTTGCTCAAGGCCAGCACTCTACCACTTGAGCTACAGCATTACCCCAGGCTTTTTCTGTGATTAATTGGTGATAAGAGGCATGGGGACTTTTCCTGGCCTGGCTGGCTTTGAACCATGATCCTGAGATCTCCGGCTCATAAATAGCTAGGATTACAGGCATGAGCTATACTGGTACCCAGCTTTAGGGACAGTTTTTGAAACACCAATATTCATGTTTTATTCTGTTTTATGTATAGGGCTTGAAATTAGGGCATGGGCACTGTCCCAGAGGTCTTGTGCTCAAGCTAGTGCTCAAACCACTTCTCCAGCTTTTTGATGATTAATTTGAAGTAAGAGTCTTACGGATTTTCCTGCCCAGGCTATCCTTAAGTCTCAGTCTCCTGAGTAGATAGGATTATAAGCATGAGTCCCTGATGCCTGGCTTTGTGTTTATTCTTCAGTGCTCTTTCATATTTGCTTGGTAAAAATGCTGAAGATCAAAAATAACTTTCTTTCAGAGCAAGTGGAATTACCTACCGTGGCGTCTGTCAGTGCATCAGTAATTAAATCTCCATCGGACCCCTCCCATGTTTCTGTACCTCCACCTCCACTCTTACTTCCAGCCGCTACCACCAGGGCTAATAGTACATCGATGCCAAGCAGCCTCCCCGGCATAGAAAACAAGCCTCCACAGGCTATCGTGAAACCACAGATCTTGACCCATGTTATTGAAGGCTTTGTCATTCAGGAGGGGTTGGAGCCATTCCCTGTAAGTAGGAAGCACATTTGTAATGTTTCAATTGGTATTATCCAGACAGTATTTAAAAAAAAAAAATCATTCTTCTCTTAAGAGGAAGCTTGCAGTTTTATTTTAGAAGTTCTGTAGAATTTAACTATGTCAGTTATATATTTCCAAATATAGTCCTAGAATAATATGCTATCCATAAAACATGGAGACTTTTCTTTTTTCTTTTTAGACAAAGTCTTGGTTTATATAGTCAAGGTTGGCCTATACTCACAATCCTCCTGCCTCTACTTCTATTTTTTTTTTAAAAAGAAGATTGAAATGACACATCTAAAGTATATTGTTTTAAAAATGGTGCTCTGGGGCTGGGAAGGTGGCTCAGTGGTAGAGCGCTTGCCTTGCATGCATGAGGCCCTGGGTTCAATTCCTCAGCACCACGTAAGCAAAAAAAAGCCAGAAGTGGCGCTGTGGCTCAAGTGGTAGAGTGCTAGCCTTGAGCTGAAGAGCTGAGGGACAGCACCCAGGCCCAAAGTTCAGGCCCCATGACTGGAGCCCCTCTCCCCCCCCCCCAATCTGAGTGCAGATTATACTAATTTATAATCCCCTAATGCATCTGAACTTATCCAGTTGATGGTTTATAATTACCACATAGATTTTCTCTTCCTGAGTTTCTGTCTTTCATCAGGTTTTTAATAATTCTTTAATTTGTACACGACGTTATGTCGAAAAACGAACTTTACAGCTTTGGCTGGGGGGGGAGGGGGGAGGGGAGGGAGAGAGATGGGAATGGGGAGAAGGGGAAACAAAGGAGGAGGCAACAATGCTTGATAAGAAATGTACTCATTATCTTGCCCATGTAATTGTAACTCCTCTGTACTGTATTTTCACAATAAAAAGAAGACTTGAAAATTAAAAAAAATTTTTTTTTTAATTTGGGCACTGGTGGCTCATGCCTATAATCCTAGCTTTTAAAGAGGCTGAGAGCTGAAGATAATTATTCGAAGCCAGGCTGGCCAGGAAACTATGAGTCTCTTCTATTAAATCACTGAAAAAGCCAGAAGTAGAGCTGTGGCTCAAGTGAGTGCTAGCCTTAAGCTAAAAAAAGCTTAGGGACTGAGCCCAGGCCCTGCATTCAAGGTACAGGACTGGCAAAAATTAAAATAAAAAAAAAAATTTCAGTTCCCCAAGACTTTTTCAAATTATGTATTTATTTATATTTCTTTGTTGGTTGTGGGGCTTGAACTCTGGGCCTGGGTACTGTCCCTAAGCTCTCCAGGTCAAAGCAAGCATTCTACTGCGAAGTCCATTTTTTGGCATTTAATTGGAGATAGGAGTCTCAGGGCCTTTCCTGCCTGGGCTGGCTTTGAACCACAATCCTCAGATCTCAGCCTCTTGAGTAGCTAGGATTACGGCATGAGCCACTGGCGTCCAGCTCATTTTTTATTTTTGTTATTATAAAGATGATGTATAGAGGGTTTTACAGTTACGTAAGTCAGGTAATGAATACTTTTCTTTTGGGGCAGTGTCACCTCTTCCATCACTCTTTCCCATTTCTCCCTCCTGACCACTCTACCCACGAGTTGTATAGCTCATTTTTAGTATCCAGTGAGTACCAGTTCTTCATTTGTTCACCCTTTGTCTTCTTTTCTGTGTCCTCCTTTACTCCCCTCCTGCCCCCAAGACAGATAAAGGAACAAACAAGATGAAAAGAAAACAAAAAAACCTCCTGTTTGAATATCCTGGAGTTCATTTTAATATTATTTTATATGATCAAAGACATTGTGTCTTTGTGTTCCTCCCCTGAGTATTCTTCTTTTGTTTCACTGTGTGTGAATGCCTAACGTCCTATATAATTTTTCATGTCCCAGTGTATTTTAGGTCTAGCTTCTGCATATGAGAGAAAATATGTGCCGTATGTCTCCCTGAGCTTGGCTTATCTCACTTAACATGATTTGTTCTAGGTCCATCCATTTCCCTGCAAATGACATAATATTCTTTCTAATGACTGTGCAAAATTCCATTGTGTATGGGAACCACATTTTTTGGATACGCCATTTGGGCTGTTTCCCCATCTGGGCTATTGTGAATAGTACAGCAGTTAACATGATGTATAAGTGTCTTTATGGTATCCTGCCTTGTGATGTTTTGTGTAGATGCCCAGAAATGGTATGGATAGGGAAGATGCATGTTTAGTGTTTGGAGGAACCTCCAGACCACTGTCCAGAGTAGTTGCACTTGTTTACATTCCCACCAATAGTGCAGTGGAGTTCCTTTTTCCCTACATCCTTCCAGCATTTGTTGTTCAAATACATGATGTTAGTCTAAATAGGGTGAGATGATTTGCATTTCCTTTATGGACAGGGATATATCTGATCATTTCTTCATCTGTTTCTTTGCTATTCTTACCTCTTCATCTGAGAAGTTTCTCCTTTGTTCCTTTACCCATTTAGTGATTGGTTTGTTGGTTTGGGGAGGAGTTTAAATTTTTTTTTTAAATTTTAAGTAGTTAGGCAAAGGGGTTTTTGTGCAATAAACCAGTTTATGAGTACAACACATCATACTTATGAGTATAACACATCATATGTGTTGTTTTCCCCCATCTTTCACTACTCACTACCCATAAGCTCAAGTTACATGGTTCTATTTTCATATATATACCCTGAATATAATGATTGTATTTGCCCACCCTGCTTGAGCAGTACTTTCAAAAATTATGTTGGCCAAGGCAGGAGGATCATGAGCTTAAAGCAACGTGATTATGGCAAGCCTGACTGCATAGCAAGACGCTAATAGCCAAAAGGGGAAAAAAAAAGTTTTTTTGTTTCCAAAGGTGCTGCGAGTATAACAAAGTTCAGGGCTCTGAATTTGATGCCCAGCAGTGGAAAAGAAAATAAATGCCCATGCAGTATCTAAATATACTGTTAGAGCTTTTGCTTTTCAGTGCTGAATATTGGGACATTGCCAGTATAGGAATGAACATAAAGGATCGCTAAAATTTAGCACTTTTTTCCCCCAGTTCTGAGCTTGAACATGGCCTGAGTACTGTCCTGGAGCTTTTTCAGCTTGAGGTTAGTGCTCTACCACTTGAGTCACAGCTCCAATTTTGGCTTTTTGGTGATTAATTGGAGATAACAATCTCATAGTCGCCTGCCTAGTTTTGAACGGCTATCCTCAGATCTCAGCCTCCTAAGTAGTTAGGGTTACAAGTGTGAGCCTCCAGTGCCTGGCCAACTTCTTTTTTTTAATTACGAAACTAGGATAGTAGTTCTATTTGGCAGAGACTTTGAAACATTCCACTGGTAACTAAACTGCATAACCTCTATCCAGGCAACAAAACACTTAAGGAATAGAGCTGAGTGAATGAATATTACAGATACTGTTCAAAAGATTTTAACCAATTATTTCTGAATGTCTTTTAAAAGAGATTATTTTATTCTCTTTTAAAGGTGAGTCGTTCATCTTTACTAATAGAACAACCTGTGAAAAAAAGACCTCTTTTGGATAATCAGGTGGTGAATTCTGTGTGTGTTCAGCCAGAGCTACAGAACAATACAAAGCATGCAGATAATTCCTCTGACACAGAGATGGAAGACATGATGGCTGAAGGTTTGTGATTTCATTTATGATACTCTTTTTATCTTACTTTGGTGTTTGCAGAAGCATAGATTTTTTTTTCACTTGGAAATACTTTTATTTTTAGACAGTACATTATTTGCCTAAAATAATGAAAAAGCTAACCAAACTAACTAAAATAGCAAGATTGGCAGCATTAGTTTGACTTGAAGGACTGTGGATGGAAAAATTCCACATAAGATACAAAGTAATTCAGGTTTTTTTCTCAAGATAACCAATTATCTCCTTTAAAAGTAAACTTAGGGGGCTGGGAAGGTGGCTCAGTGGTAGAGTGCTTGCCTTGCATGCATGAGGCCCTGGGTTCGATTCCTCAGTACCACATAAGCAAAAAGAAAAAAGCTGGAAGTGGCGCTGTGGCTCAAGTGGTAGAGCGCTAGCCTTGAGCTGAAGAGCTGAGGGACAGCGCCCAGACCCTGAGTTCAGGCCCCAGGACCGGACCCCCCCCCAAAAAAAAAAAAAAGTAGACTTAGAATGACTATTTTACAGAATTTGCTCATATATCTGGAGCTTTCTAGGTTGTTTCTTATACTTTGCATATTCTGGTTTGTGGTAGTAAATATTACAATTATTTTTAGGGATATACTCTTTAGAAAAGAAGAGATTTAAAGAGAAAAATGTCAGCAATTCTCCTGAAAGAATTTGCTGTGGTGGTGGTAGTCATGAGGCTTAAATTCAGGGCCTGGGCACTGTCCTTGAGTTTTTTTGCTCAAGGTTAGTGCTCTACTACTTTGAGCCTTAGCAACACCTTGGTTTTCTGGTGGTTGATTAGAGATAAGAGTCTCATAGAAGTTGTTGCCTGAGCTGGGTTACTCAGATCTCAACCTCTTGAGTAGTTAGGATTACAAATATGAGCCACCAGTCCCTGGCAAAAGAATTACCTTTAATAAACTGTATTTGAATAATGATTATTCCATACAGGTTAAAACGGTATTCAAAGTTGGTGCTATTAGCTTACTTCTGTAATCTCAGCTATTCAGTAGGCAGAGAATTGGAAGACCATAGTTTGTGGCCAGCTTGGCAAAAAAAGGTAGTGAGACCCTCCCATCTCAACAAATAAGCCAGGTAATCGTGGTAGACAGCTGCAATCACAGCTGTGTAGGTAGGAGGCTCTAGGTAGGAGGATCATGCTGAGGCCAGTTCTGTACAAAAATGTGAGACTTTATCCAAAAAATAAAGCAAGAAATGTCTGGGGCTGTGGCTTAGGTGGTCAAATGCCTGTCTTAATAAGTGTGAGGCCCTGAGTTCAAACACTAATACCTATAACAGTGAAAAGTATTCAGAATATCAAAAGGAAAGCAACTATTTTTTTTTTTTTTTGCTTATGTGGTGCTGGGGAATCGAACCCAGGGCCTCATGCATGCAAGGCAAGCGCTCTACCACTGAGCCACCTTCCCAGCCCGAAAGCAACTATTTTA